TAGCAGTTTTTCTGTAAAGTTGATAGTATTTGAGTAAAAAATTATTGAAAATCAATATTCAGCGATTTTTTGTAATTAATATCTTATTAACTATTGCGAAAATTGTAAAATGTTAAAGGACTTTTCGACTCAGTTTTTTATTAGGAATAGCATCGTATGATTAGTGTACGTTATTTTAGATACGCTCTGTATATGTTCATTTCACATAATATCCTTGATATTATGCTTTCAATATCCCTGGAATATTATTAAAATATTTATTAATATTAATTATTTTTATATAAGTGCAATTTGAATTTACTATAAATAACAAAAAGATCTTATCGATCTATGCTGCATCTTAGTGCTTAAATAACGTTTCGGTGTGATTTTATGTATATATCCAGTTCTACAACTGCGCGCCAAAATCATTTTCAGTCTTTAAACATAATCTTAAATTGGAGTTACTGAATTGGAGTAACAGTTTCACAATTGGATTAAAGTAAATGTTATTATAATACTTTGTAATATTCGTATAATATTATAGTAACATTAAATAATGTTACTTTTAATAATCATATAATATTATCAAGAGTGGACATATAACTATCGATTAATATTTCAGGAATATTATTTAATATTACCGGGTGTCTCAGACTATCCGTACACTCCTTTTATCACGGAAACAGAGCATTTTAGAAAAAAATGTTTCAGACAAAAGTTGTATGGTTTCGAAGTGTACATAAGATGGTGTCATTGATTTGACCTTGAATAGTCGTTTGAAAGTCATTGGAAGGTCACGTTGATTTTTTCGAACGGTATACCTTATTTTTCATTACATATTCTTGCAGCTTCTCGAGAGCTTTCCAAAACTACAATCAAATATTTTTTCATTGAGAACATTTTGAGTTATGAGACTTGAAAGTTACAGTACTGCCGGCAATGTATCCGAGCGATCGCTAAAACCTCTTGAATGTTGTTCAGGATCATGTCCTGGATAACATTTATCAAGATCAAGGCTATTGGAGATTATTATTTTACAAGATATTTTGTTGAAATTTTCATGTTTTATAACTCAGAAAGTTCTTAATGAAAAAATATTTCATTCTAGTGTTTTGGAAAGCTCTCGAAATAAGCTACAAGAAGGTGCAATGAAAAATAAGTAGAGTGTACCATTTTGAAAAATCAAACTCCGTAACCTACATATGACTTTCAAATGACTATTCAAACCAGTAAGCTTATGTATACCTCGAA